TGACGGGCGCGAGGGCGGGCCCCAACAGGCGGGCAGGACGCTGTGCAGCGGGCGGGCCGCGGCTGTCAGTTCTCGCTGGTGTTTGGGAGCACGTTGGCTGGAGCGAACCACGGGCCCCCTCTACTCGGGGGCTGTGGGGCGGACAGGGAAGGAGAACGAGGGGGTAGTTAGAGGAGGAGGAGGATGAGGAGGAGGAGGAGCAAGAGCGGACTCACACGCAAATCGAAGCCAAGCTGCCAGGCCCCGTGGACAGCCAGTCGGCCCAGCTCGTCCGGGGCAGGATCAAACGAGAGACCTCTGAACTGCATGGCCGCGGGGCGGATCGATCGCACGCGATGAGCTCAGGGGCGAACGATGAGAGGAGAAGGAGGACGACGTGACGGCTCAGGAAGGCGGGCGGGGAACAACACGCACATTCGCTGCATCTGGACCTAGGGCGCTTGCAAAGGACCAGGCAACAAGGTCACCTGCGCGTTGAGATGCCTTAGCCGCAATGTATCACCAAGAACTTGTGGCAGAATAGCCATGGTTGTCGCTCCAGCCGGTCCGATCTAAACCACACGAGCATGACTCCTGCGAATTCACGGGATCAGCCGCATGGCAAGCATGGGGAACCACAAATATGCATGCTGCACAATGGATGAGAGTGATCGGCCCTTCGAAAACAACGAAATCAGAGAACGTGTACTTGCCGTCGGGCATCACAATGACCTTCGTCTGGTAGCCCAGGGGAGTGGTGAAGCAGGACCCTGCTACACAGATGAGGATCCATGTGAAAGCGGCAGCGAGTGCAAGAATGTTGTCTGCCCCCTCCGTCTGCAGGTTGGAGACCATGGAAACGATCAAGCTCCCAACGATTGAAACATTGGCCGAGTTGCTAATCCACATGCTGAGGGAACCCGAAACGATGCAGACGGAGGCGCAGAGGCCGAAGAAGCCAAGCTGCTGGAACCCACTCATCATAACGTCGGCAATCAAGTTGGCGACTCCAGTGCTCTTCATCGCGTTCGATATGCCAGTCGCGCCGACGGTCGTGAAAATCACGGACCCCTCGCTGGATGAGTGCAGCTCTGGTAGAGTAATGGCCCTGATTGCGAGCAGCAGGAGCAGGAAAATGCCACACCCGTAGCTGAGCTCGGCCACCTCGGCAGCCACCAACGCAATCATGATCAGCATCCCAGTCACTACTACGGTTGCCCTCACGGCGTCGGCTGTTGCGGGGCGGAGACGAATCTTTGATCTGGGAGGCCACCGAGAATGCAGAGAACCAGCGCTCAGGGAACTCTTTGAGATAACGATGGTCGGCCTCTATGAGCACCACGTCGCTTGGGCGGAAGCTGGGAACCTTACCCTCGTCCCGCTCCCAAGGGATCTCCCTCGAGACCGGGCGGCGCGAGGCGACGAGGGCGCAGCCGAAGCCGTTGCGCAGCTCCCGCTCGCGAGCTGGGAGGGGCGATGGGGTCCGCCACCGAGCACTCGAACAGCGAGCGCTCCTTGCGGAGGAGGCCTGGCAGCGACAGCTGCGGCTGCGCCCGGGGCTCGAAGCCCCGGACCTGGCGCGGGGCCACGACGCCCGCCGCGGTCGCCTCGCAGCGCAGGAGCGCCCCGCCGTGCAACTTGGCTGGGCACCCCGCCTCCTCCTTCAAACACACGCTGGGCACGCCGGGCAACTTCTTGAGGGTGCAGAGCACGCAGTCCACCTCTGCGCCTTCCTGCGCGCCGTTTTGCTGCACCACGAACACGGTGCTGCATAAGAGGTCCGACTGCTCAGCGCCAGGTTCGCCCCCGTCGCAGCAGCCCCTCGCTGGCGGGGTCGGCCGAGTGCCTCAGCAGCCTGGTCGGTGCCAGGGCCAGGACGGCAATCGTTGTCACCAACATCAGCCACGCGGCCGCCGGTGTCGTCGAGAAGAAATTCACCTCGTACACTTCCCTGGCGGACTCCAGGGCCACGAGGCAGTGGGAGCTCCCGATGAGGGTCATCGGCGAAGCTCAGGGGCATCATCAATTTCGCAGGGTGGCAGCCGAGCCGGCGCGACCAGCTGATGATCTCTGGAACCAGCATGGCTATGATCGCGGTGTTGCTCAAGCAAGCGGAGAGAAACGCCACGGGCAACATCATCCGCACGAGGGCGACGGGGAAGCTGTCGGGCTGCCCGAGCATCACCAAGACTGCCCGGTCCAGCAGGCCTGTCTCCTCCATGGCCTTTGCCACGGGAAGCAGCAGCGCGAAGGCGATGACGCTCGTGCTTGCGAAGCTTGCGATGGCCTGCTTGATGCTGACGACCCCCGCCGCGGCGAATATGGCGACCGCGCCGAGCAGGGCGACCTCGGGCTGGAGCTCCTGTGTGCCAAGCGTGATGGCGATCGCCAAGCCTCCGATGACGAAGTACGGGTGCCAATTCGTCACCTTGTACTTGAAGCTGCGCTTCACGATGTATCCCAACTCGTCCATCATCTCGTCGGTAATATCATCCGTGGTCACCCTCGTGCATTTCGACGGCTCGTCTGATTCGAAGAGGCAGAATTAAACCTTGCTCCAATTAGTTCCGCAACACCCCTCGCCCCCGATTGACTCCTTTCCGAATCCAGTCGGATCCGGATACGTCTTCTCGCAGTAGTGCACGCAGGCGCTGAAGGTGGGAGTGCTGGCTATCTCGTCGTTGCTTCCACCGACGTACGTTGCTGTAAACTGGTCTGTGGGAAAAAAAAAGCCATCCTGCAGATGATCATGAGCACGATCAGCGTCACCACCAGCACGCGAGGAATATTGCAGAAAACATCGGCCAGGGCTGTGGAAGGGAACGAAGAGGACCAACATAGAATCACGCTTGCCGATGCCGACCTCCTCATCCGACTCCGAAAAGCTGTCGGAATCGTCGCTGTGAGGACGCTCGGTGTTAAACCCATTTGACTCGCCGTTGGTCTGCACGTGGGCGGCCCTCATCACAACAACAGTCTAGGTCCTGGCCGCGGCACGTAGGCTGCGCCAAAATGGCTTGAGCCAAGGAGGAGGAGGAGGAGGAGGAGGAGGAGGAGAAGGAGGAGGAGGAGAAGGAGGAGGAGGAGGAGGAGTGAAGAGGAATACTGATTTAGATGATTCCAATGTGTTTTAGCGGGTGTTACTTAGGGGGCTCTGAAGGTTTCTCAAATGTTCGCTGGGAAAGGGGGGGGAGAGGAAGAGGTAGGTGTGATGAATCGAGGGAGGCGTTGGTAAGGAGGATGAGGGAGACATGACGAAATCAACTCCATTCCTGAATTTGTTGGAACATCTGATTGCGCAACATACTGACACACCAATGAACACATTCAGAAATATTTTAGTGATTTGAACGGCCGTGCAACACGCTGTTTCGGGTCACCGAGCAGCTGGCAGAAAGGGGGCTGGAGTCACAAGAAGCTAGCCGATCACCACACATTCAAATACTGAAAGACATGCTGCTCGAGGTGCGAAATCATTATTTTCGGTGCTGCAATGTCGTCTCGTGTGCTCACCCACTAGCGAAAACATTCGTAATGCGGCCGTGGAACATCTGGGAAACGGTTGGCTAAGCCGTGGCCAGATGCGTGAACTGTCTTGCGCTCATTTTTCTGCACTGCCACGACCCGATGCTGCTAGCGTGCGTTTTCTGCTATGGGCCCACTTTCCTTTCCAGACACTTTTTCATCAGGACAACCAGCATCACTCTGGCGACGCCACGTACTGTGACCGCGCCAAGTGAGGATAATGCACGTGCTTGATACGATGCATCAGGATACCACCAGCGACCTGGACATCCAGCGAACGCGGCTCGAAAGGGTCGGCATCCCGACGTCCGTCTGCGCTGTGAAGCCAAGGGTCGGGCACTTTCACCTTGACGGCCCACCGCGGCGGTCCCCACGGGGCCCCGTACTCCTCCCGCAGCAGGAGGGCCATGCCCCGAGGCGGTGCCTTGAAAGATACGCTGTCCAAGTCGACGCCTTCCGAGTGGGAGACGTGCAGTGGCAAGCGCTTCTGATTGCACAGCTTCTGCAACTCGCCCATATTTCCAAAAAAATGCGGAATCTCAGCCGACCCTGTTCAGGGTCTCCTATTTGATGATCTCCCCCCTGTAGTCCGAGTTACATGTTCGAGAGAGGGATGGCCTACCGGTACGTTTCAGGTGCGCTTCTGGTGCCTGTTTTGGGACTCTCTGGAAGCTTGTCAATGTCCAGAGGCGTCCGAGACGGCCCCAGAGGGCACCACAAGCTCCTGAAGACGGCCCCAAGATGGCTCAGGGAGCCTCGGCGCGATTTCTTGAGGCCGCAAGGGGCCCCAACGAACCCATAAGATGCTCCAAGAGAGCTCCAAGCCGCTCCAAGACTCGTCCCAGACAGCCGAACTTTGCGAAACCTTTCTGGCTGTTCAATGGTCTTTGTCATTCGGCTTCTCGGCTCAACATTGCTTCAAGCGGCTCCAAATCTGCCCAGAAACAAAACCATCAAGACGATGTCACGACGGCTTTCCAACGAGTCCAAGGCAGCCTAGGAGAGAACCCACCTGGACCAGGACGGTGACTTGATAACCCAAGCGAGCCCCCAACGGTGCCCCCTAGAATCCGAGTGCCGAAGAACCCATCAAAAAGCCCCCCCTCAGAATCTCGAGTACACGATGAAACGGCCGGAAACGACGTGCAGAGCGACAACGCTTCTGCGAAGGTCATAATGCAACACCCCATGTGTCCAACCATTGCGCATACGTACATTAGAATGACCGTCCCTGAGCGCGTGGCTTAAGCGGGGTGCCGCAGCGATTTTTTTTGTTATTGCCCTGTTCTCGTCGTCCTGCCCGCGACCCACTCGCGACCCACTCGGCGACCCACCCGCGTCGCACCTGCGACCCACCCACGTTGCGTTGACGAAGAAACATCGGCGCCTGCGGCAAGCTTCTCCAAAATCCCATCAGCCCTCTGGGCGAAGATGGGATAACGGGTTGTTTCTCCCCTCTTCCCAAACCCCTCCTTCCCCCTGCCCCCTCCCCTGGGTCTGGACGGGGAGGGGAGGGGGGAGGCGAGTGGTTAGAGCGCCCAGTATTGCTCCATGAGGGTCGCAGATGCTGCAAGATGGTCTCCAAGATTGCCCATGCTACTTCAAGACGGCGTAATGTAGCCTCCGAAAGACTCCAAGAGGTCCCCAGATCGCCTCAAGACGGTTCCAAGTGCCCTCCGAGTCTTCCCTTCGAATCCTCAAGATGGCCATAAGATAGCCCAGGATAACCTCAGTAAGGGCCAACTATGTCCCCAAGACGGCCCCACGAAAGCCCAAGAGCGCCCCAAGAGGGCCTCACGGCGTCATTTGTGTTGGCCTCCGACAGGGTGGGGGCGGGGTCCGAATTAAAGCTTTCCTCCGGTAGAACGGCGCCTGAAGTTTAGAATTTAGAGTTTTGCATTCAGCGGTGATTCAGAGTTAAGGGTGCTGTTTCCAGTTGTTTTGATACGGTTTCTTCATGACTTTTGAAACTGAATAGGGGGTGGTGGTGTTTTTGTGCATATTTTCATATTACCAATATTTTCAAAAAGCCCAATGAGGCCTCTAGGCGGCCATTTGAGACCCCCAGGATGGCCGAAGGGAGTCCCATGACGGACGCTGAAAAAACCCCAATACGGCGAGCGGACGGAGCGGAGCGCCTGTCCGGCGTGTCCGCCGCGAAGCGGTTTGTATCAAATAGAGCACCCTGCGACGCTCGTATACACTGTGGGTCGAAGGGGTCCGCGCAGCGGGGAAGGAAAAATACTGCCTGCCACTGGAACGCGACGGCGGTCCGCAGCAGAGTGCCGAGGAGACCAGGGTCCTCTACGTAGTCCAGGCACAGCAGTAGCCTCAAGTCTGCGACGTCCTTGCTCGGCGCTGGGAGATCCAGCGTGCCAACCAAGCCGTTGAAACTCGTCAAACAAGATACCTTCTTCAAGCTGCGCTCATCCGCCATGTGTCTCGTAGCCGCGTTGAGCCCCTCAAAAGCTGGGTCGTTCTCCTTCGTGGACAGCAAATCATGGTAATGGTAACGTTTGCCGAGGTCCCTCACGAGCTTGTTTCCGGTCACCACGCAGCGCTTCCTCGAGAGCCGGTGCTCCTTGCGTCTTGCCAGCATTATCAGCTCCTGCACCAGCGGGTGGTGCTGCCGAAGAATCTGCATGGAGGATCCTTTGCTCGTGCCAAGCTTGAGCACAAGAACGGCTTCCTCATTGAGGTCGGATTGCAGACCGTTCGTGGCAAGTTGGCAGCATGAAGTAGGGAGGCGGGGCATACAGATTGGATTTCGGCCTGCCCCAGTAGTAGGCTGTCAAAACAATTATTTACATAATTTCAGCGAACGGCATTTGAAAACCTCCACCTGACACCCAAAACATCGCAAACAATGACACCGACACGCAATCATTTTGCGCACAACCTGGGCAGAACAATCAACAACTCCCGAGTCTTTGTACAAACTTGCCATAAACGCTGATAAAGAAGGCGGGCCAAAGAAAACCATTTCGACCTTCACCCAGACGTTTGTGAAATTGGGATATGACTTGGCTAGGCCGTGGAAACAAGTTTGGACACCGAGGACCTGGGATCTGACGCGATGACCCCAGGATTTGAAATCCCGAGTGGCTCTGGGCATGAAGTCTTCAACACATCATGACCTCCGCGAGAGGGGTCGCGTACAATTCCCGCCCCGCAGCGATGCACTGGCTACAACAGTGCTCAATCTATCAAACAGATCCAGATCGCCTCTAGTATGTCCAATGTGGCTCCAAGAGGCCACAGGGCCACAAGAGGGCTCCAGGATAGCTCTGAAGTGCCCCCCGCGCCTCCCAAGGATGATATCCTCTTCTCGCCCTTTCGACTTTCGACTGGCCTCTGAGGTCTTCGAAAGGCCCGACGAGACCCACAAAGTCCCCCAAGGGCCTACCAACATGTTTGTATGAGAGCACCAAGAGGCGGATTGTCCACCCCTTTGGGGGGGCAAACGTATAGCGCCCGCTCTCTTCTAGTCGATAGCCTCCAGGATAGCCCAAAAAGGTCCCCCAATGAGCTCTCAATAATCTCGTAAGAGGCACCGTGAAGGCCAGAAGTATACCACACATAGAGAGTCCCAAGCAGTTCATATCCTGGGAAGTTTCCAACCATGTCCCCGCTGCGCCTCGCTTCCTCGAGCCACACACGGTGTCGGAATGCCATCATAGCCGCTGCCCTCTGTGCTCGGCACAAGGGTGCTTGGCGTGGGTTTTGTTTTGCCTGTTGTGATTCTTGTCGAGTCTTCTTAATGGCCTTCGGCGGAATCCGCAACCCACAACAAAGGCATAACCAAACAAAACATCAAAGCGAATGGAATTCGGTTTCAAGATGGCCATGGTGGCCTCCAACACGTCCAAGATGGCCATCAACAGGGCCCACTGCGTTCCTATATTGCACCAAAGACGGCCCTCAAAAAGGTTCAAGAGGCCTCGAAGTTTGCCCAACATGTCCCCAATATGACCCAAAATAACTCCAAAACGCTCC